AAGCGTTACGCCTAGAGTGATTTACGTATGCCTTAAGCGATTTTTACGTACGCGTAGAGTTGTTTTGGTTAGGCTACTTTTTATCAGTTTTTAACTTTTAAATTAGCGGTAACATAAAAGAAGTAATTAATTTTTAAAAAAACCACATTAACTTTTAAACGATATGTAAAGATATTTATTACAAAAAAGAATTTACGTTAAAAATAATTGTAACTTTTCATCGCAATATATCTTACCTTTTTGTAGCAATTAATTTTACGCTAAACTTTTTATCCAAATATTTAGCAACACGAAAAATTGTTCGTCAATCCTTAACTGCAAATTTTTGCAATGTTTTTAATAAAAAGTAGTAATTTTTTAAAGTTTTCAGTAAAAACTTTAAAAAAATCTATATTCCATATTTATTAATACAGAATATAAATGTTTTTTGTAGTATAGTTTTTTTTGAATTTATAATAAAAAACATTTGCAAAAAAATTTGTAATTAAGGATTGATATTTTTTTTAATATCTCAAAAAATGTCTTAATATTTTTGTTATCACAATAACAAAAATATTAAGACATTTTTTCGAGATATTAAAAAAGAATATGCCAATGAATGAACAATCTAATTGTATTTTTCTAAAAATTACTTCATTAATTCTTACTCTTTGCTTTTCTTATTAGTTAAAGGTATATAGGTACCTTTACCTTTAAGTTATGCGAGGGAGGGGGCCGGCACAGAAAAAGAAATTACCTGTTACTGGCATTTTTTGAATGAAGACAATTTGTTATACTTCTTCTGCGTGCAATTCAATAAGTTTTTTTCATAAATCAAGTTATATTATAAGGTAAAGAAATCACAAGTAGACTATAACATCCGCTGATGACACTAATATTACGTTGAATATATTTATATAACGGAGGTTTGATTATGCACGCGCACATTACAGATTTTGTTAAATAAATACTAAGGCACGTTTTAGTTTAATGACAGTCTTTATTTTTTTACTAATGAATATGTATTTTTCTTTATAAAACAAGACAAACTAGTATATAAAAACCTTGTATATTTCTATTCTCTCTAAATTGTTTAAAGTTCGAATATGGATTGTATTTTGAAGGACAAAAGATTTACTTTAAAAACTTTTAAATCTTGGGACTTTGCCGATGCGATGAGCACAGAAAAAGAGAAGACTTACGGTATTAAAATCAAATGTAAGTTATGTGATCTTCATCAAAATAAAATATTATCTAAAAACAATGGTGCCGTAAGGGCAGCTGCCCTACGGTTTATAAATAACACAAGTCATGTTAAAACATTTTAACATGTTACTATATTTTAATTAAGTTGATATATAAATAAAAATAAAAATACAGTTCAATTAATAAATTAAAATTGTTCTTAACAAAGATTTTCTCATATCTATTCTTTTTTTATTTTATTAAGTTAAATTGCTTAAAACGAAAAAAAAAAAAAAGTTTTGTAATTATACGTAGAATGAAAATACTTTTGAGTTTGTTTATAAGTTAAGCAACTTAATTTTTAATAAACAAATTATTACGAACATTTATTATAAACAGATACGATTCAAATTATTAAATATACTTATATTATTTTAGTTAAGTATTTTTTTAAGTTTGCACGATTAAAGTTTTGCGTAGAAGTATTTGTTTTTTGTTTTAAGAATAATTAGCAAAAGAGTTTGCATAATTAAGACTTTTATATTTAATTTTTTTTTTTTTTTAATTTCCTAAAATTTAAAAAAAAAGATTTAATTGTTAAAAACGATTTTTCTATATAGCTCTGTTTCTTTGTGATTTGTTTAAAATGTAAAACATTTTTACAATAACATAAAAAAGTTATGAATTAAATTCCTGGCGAACGCGTTCTAAACTATGTATCAAAAATATCCTCAAAGCAGACAAAACTTTTTTATATTTTTATATAACACAAGTTGAAACGCCAAGCAAGATAAATTAAAAAAATATTTTAAAACCTAAATTATTCTTTGCTAGTCAAAACAAAATCGCTGTTTAAATAATTAACATGGGTTTTTGTTTATCATTGTTAATATTTTTTGTTTACTCCAGAAATTTTTAAAAATAAAAAAAATCATTATTATTTTTTATTCAATAACGATTTATAAACAATAATTATTCAAAAACAAATTTCAGAAATAATTAAAATATACATATACTTTCTTTTTTTTAATAAATAATATTGAACTAAAATTAATAATAAAATAACAATTAAAAACATTGCAAACTTTTCATAATAAATTTACATTTAAAACGTTTATAGTTATTT